TTCCTTGTGGAATAAAGTTCAGAGAAAATGAGTGAATGGAAACACCTTTTATTGTCTATACGTACCTCCTGTGGTCCTGACTATTGCTATTTATGAGAAGGTTCATATATCAGAGAAATCTTACATTCTCTGAAATATCCTAGCAATGAAAGTTGTAATCAAAAATGATATATTGCCTAGGTTTTCAAATTAAAACAAGCTGAGCCAAAACTGAAAGCACAATTCCCATGGTACTGTCAAAACCATATTATCCAGATTTCCAAAAGAACAGTCTATTTCAAGATCACATGTTTATAGATTCCTACTGAATTTAGTGTTTATCATAGAAGACAACTACTTTTTCTTTTTGAAGTAGATAATAACATTAGGTAGTAGTTATAAATTACAGTTCTAGGCACTGTGATACATAATTATGAAAACCTTAAAAAGTAGGTACTATTATTATCTCCGTGAGACAACTAAAGGACAAAGTGGTTAAGAAATATTTTCAACCCATCAGCTAGAATGGTAGAACTGAGATTCAAGCCCAGATATTTCTCAGTCCCAGAAGAATACTTTCACCACTTACCCATACCACCTTATCTACCCTATTGATAGGAATAACAGCATGATCTGGACTCTTTAGGAAACACCACTGGTATTTTTTTTAATTTTGGAAGCTCTTTGACTCTTTTTATAAAGTGAGTTTAGGTGATAATCAGTTAACTGAAATATTTGTATGTTACATACTTCAATTCAGGTAGGAATTTTTTTTTTTTTTAATTTCTCTCCTGACTCCCACCTTCACTATATTATCAACCTCCATTCCCTCCTTCCATTATTTTGCACTTTTCTGCCCAAACCAGTTGCTGGATTTGCTCCTAAATTATGTGACCACTCCCAGGTCTCTAGTAAAGCTGTATTATTTAATGAGCTATGTAAACATCTACTGTAATAGATTTGGAAATTCTTTAGGGAAAAAAAGAGAGATTGGTAAACGATTTCATCCTGTATTCTTTTGTTTAGTTGAAGGCTAATTAAAGCATGTTTTTAGTGTAATAGTCTGACTTTGTTCAGACTATTACATTTAGAAAGAGTTCTTTGAGACTCAAGCTTAAATTCATGCATGCTTAAACTAAGGTAGTACACTATATCTTAGTCACTCTGAGCATTTACAACCAAATGTATAAGATAAAAAGGGACAAAAGTCTCCATTTCAACATGCCAGATAAGGCACTAAAACAGCAAGACATTTATAGATTGTTGGAAAAGTATTAATCATGTTATTCATTCATGGAAGACTAATGTTCAAAAGAAATTCTGGAGAATAAGAGTTTAACTCATTAACCATGCATGTAAACCTGATTCTCCAAGCTAATAAGCTCATGGCATTGATCAGTAGCCAACAGAGGGAGAAAAGCATCTAGCTGCTTAATTCTAAATCAGATTTTCAATAATTATATTGAAAATAAATTTGGGTTTAGGTAAATATGTATTTCTCTGAACTCAATGAAAGCAGTTATTAAATGTTTGATTATATTAATTTTATGCTTCTAACAAGAATTATAGAACTTTTACAATAGTAGCGCTCTGAACAATTAAGTGAAACCTCTACATATCATGAATATGTTGTTTTAAAAATAAAAGGATATAATTAAAATCAGTGTTGACTGCAGAGATAATAACTGTGAACCACCAACTTGAAAAGGAAACCAATGAGCATGGGTTCCACTGATCATCTGCATGTAATTAGGAAATTTAAGCCAATTACAATTAGAGTACCCAATTCAAACATTGTGATCCTGACAGCAAAGCACAATGCCTGAGTTGCATCTACTAAAGCCTTAGGTTTTCTTTTTTGTTTGTTTGATTGTTTTTCCAGTTTTATTGAGATATAATTGACATATAATACTGTATTAGTTTAAAGTGAACAACATAATGAGTTGATATATTTATATACTGCAAAATGATTACCATAAATTTAGTTAACATCCATCACCTCACACAAGTACAATTTCTTCCTTGTGATGAGAACTTTTAACATCTTCTCTCTTATCAACGTTCAAATATACGATAACAGTATTGTTATCTATAGTCACCATGTTGTATATTATATCCCTAGAACTTATTTATCTTATATCTGGAAGTTCATACCTTTTGACCACATTTCCCCATTTCCCCCACCCTTCATTCCCACCTCTGGCAATCACCAATCTGTTCTCTGTTCCTACCAGTTCCACATTTTTAGATTCCACGTATAAGTCAGATCATAAAGTATTTGTCTTTCCCTGTCCAGCTTATTTCACTTAGTATAAGGACCCTGATGTCTGTCCGTGTTGTCTCAAATGGAAGGGTTCCCTTCTTTGTATGGCTGAATAGTATCCCATTGTATAATACACCACATTTTCTTTATTCATTGATCCATGGACATTTAGGTTATTTCCACGTCTTTAAAGCCTTAAGTTTTCTGTTAGTATTTCCTATTATATCTAGTAAGCCTTTCTTAAAAAATAACAGTTGGTGCTTATACACATATACTATTAAAACTCAATGAACTATAGTGCCTCTTTTGTGTCATTTATTATACATTAAAATTGGATGATTTTTATTTATATTATTTTATTTTCTTTATTTACATTTATTTATTTTTTCTTCTTAAAAGGAATTAGTAGCAGTAGGAAGACTTCAAAGACTAATTTCAAATGATAAAAGAAACTTTACAGAATCTAGGTCATTTATGGATAATCTGATATGGAAGTAACTTACACAGAAACAAATTAAATTTTGCTTTCTTGGTTCCTCAAAGTGGAAATTTTCACCACATTTTTCATTAGTTTCTTTTTAATTTTTTTACTCACAAAGTTAAAACTTTTGAAAGTTCTAAATATGCTTTTTAAAAAATAAAAACATATTTAGACTATGGAACAATACTACCAAAGCTCCAGAAGAAAGATTTGACCTCAAATCATCACTTGTATTTCATTCTACTCATACTTCTTTAATGAGCTTCAAGAGAGAGATGCTCACAAGATAGACTATAGCCTACTCTCCAAACCTAAGCTAGAGGTTCCAAGCATCCTCTTTTTAGATGATGTTTGAGGGCTGAATAAAATAGAAAAGGATGCTCAGTGCCTAGTCTTTGCACAAAATCCATGATCATAGGGAGGGTATCTTCAAAGAAAAATATTCAAAATCCTACATTTAGGGTATAAACTAGCAATTCCAATGTAACAGATGAAGTAGGTGGTTGTGGTAGATATTACTTGTAATATTATTTACCTGTTAATTATTGTCAGTGATGAATGTGAAGCATGTGTGTGTGCATAACTTTTTATATTTTACAAACAAATGGTACTAAGAGAAACCATAGTGGCACCATATCAACAAATTAACTTGCTTCTACTATTTATCTGACCATGCACTGATGGTCACAATATTCAGAACTCTGAGATTAGCCACTGAGGGCATATTTGGAAATGTGTAGCCCTACCCTTTTACACATACAGTTAAACCAGTTTTCCTCCTGTGTGCTTTACTCATACCATACACCAGAAAATGAATTTAAAACTACTACTCTATAACAGTGGTTTTGAGACATGGTGTCAAGGCAGACTAATGTGTCATAGATTGTTACATGCAATGATAACTTTTGCTACCAGTAAAAAACTCAAGTTAAATCATCTGCCTGCTCTTCATATAAATTAGGGCATATTCACTGTTATTGCTCTAATACCATCATTCTTCTTAGTTGAATTCCTTTTGATTTCCTGATTGAGAGACAAAGGGGTATCCAATTCCATGTAATTCTGAGGGAATTCATGAGAGTGAACTCCACATAGGAATAATCCTTAATGTGTATGTAACTGTGAAAAAAGAAATATTGGTAGCTGCTTCTGTATATATCCTTCTACATGTGCATGAGAAAGACAAGAACTCATGTTCACGGAGAAAAGTGTCCAGGAAATGAAATTTGGACCTGGTGAATAAAGGTCATCTAGTTCAATGGAGACAATGATAGTGTTCTCTCCCACCTCCGTGGTCCAAGAAGAATTGTTTTTTTCCTTTCTAGTAGCATATAAATTCTGCATCAGTTTTTCCAGTGTATAAAATGTTGTGTTAATATCTACCAGTAATTAACAGCCTTACACTCCAAGTAGGTAATAAATGGGAGTGAATTTATTGTTTATGAGTATATCAATATTTTTTAAAAAACTATATGCTGGGATATAAAGCCAATGCTGAAGTGTAAAATTGCTAATGCAGGCTCATAGCCTAGAAAATGATTTCTTTTAATAGTTTTCTTCATTTAACAGTTCTTCATTTGAATATATTCCCTTTCAACTACATGTTTTGTGGTTTGGTGCTGTGAAGGGGAAATTTATTCCTTTGACACATTTATTCTTTTAATAGTTTTACATTTGAAAAAGCTTCACCAGGTATCTATATATTTTGCAGTTTGCAGAGAGGTTCATTCTTGACAGTTTTTTTTTTAATGTTTATTCATTTAAATAGGTTCTCACTCCATGGAACTGTTGCTAAGATTTCTTTAAACTGGAGCCACTTGGGAGTTCTAGTAAAGCAGTAAGGCTAATGTCAACCTGTGGACTTTCCAGGGGCTCTGCAAGCCCTGAAATCACAGAAGATTCACATCCTTAGGAAGAAGAAAACATGTAGAATGAAATTTAACTAACCATTAGCAGATGTCCTTGACTATAGTGTTAATTATGATTTGGACCTTAGTAACCACAGAGCATTTATACAATTGAACTAGTTTGGGGATGCAGTATGTGGCCATGAAAAATATATATCAAACTCCCCCACATAGATTTGAAAGCAAGGTATTTGTCACAAACATTTTGTTTAATATTGAATAAGACCACTTTGACTTCCAAACACATTTTGATTTGTTTATTTGGAGATGTTTCCCAACCAGAGTAGGGTTATGATGCATTCTTGGTGTAGGAACACTTAAATTGTACATCTACGTATTGTCCTCACTCTTGGCCCATTTTTAATGACAGTTCCAAAGACAACACCCACCAATGTAAGTGGAAGAAGTGGAAGAAGGCACGAGTTAGTCATCGCCTGGGAGGTAAGAAAGCCTACTCAGATGTCAGAACTTGTTGATTCCTTAAAAAAGAAAGTTACACATATATTATCAGTATTTGGTATAGAGTAACTGAGTAACTTCTGTTTAAAGGAGGTTAAGAAACACTTTGAGCACTTTTCTCATTTTCATACCAAGTCTAAAGTGTGTCATCCTGTCATATAGGCTATCTCAGAACACAGTTTGAATGATTAAAACACATTATCTCACAAATTACTTCAGATGTTTATTTGGCTTAGTCTGATATTTATTTACTTCACAATTGAATAGCACTCTTTGACATATTTGGAGGCTAAAACCAGTGAGGTTTTCCTGGAGTAGTGACTGGGTTATCTCATTTATCCCATACAACTATCTTATTAGTGGGGATAATTTTCCTTGTTTTACAAAATTATGAAACTGATGCACAGTTTGAGTACTTTCCTGAGAAGCAGTAGAATTGGGACTTTGAATCCAAAACCCTTATTCTTTTGTGTCCCTCACTGTATGACCTCCAAAATTCCTTCTGTCAAAGAAACGAACACG